AATATTTTTTTAAATATTTTATTTTATATAGGTATTAGAGGTGGAAAACTATCGATAGTGGTCACTATCGATTGTGCGATAGTTTATTTTATTAGCATTGATAATATCGATAGTACTATCGGCAATTTTAAAATTATTATTTAATATTACTTTAAATCAAAACTTTCAATAAATTTTATCGAATTTTATTCTATATATATTATATTTAATATATTGATAATATTGATATCAATATATAATAGGGAAAAATAAAATCATTAAGTTTACAAAATTAATAAAAAACTTTATTCTACAAAACGATTAACGAATATATTGTATGCAATATATTATATAAAATAATATTATGAAATTAACATATTATATTATTGGGTACCTACAAGCTACAATATCACTTTTTCACAGATCACTGAGTCTACAAGATTAATAAAAAAAAATGTATTTTTTAAAACAATGGAACAAGTATATTACTGCATACCTATACCTATAAGCTACAGGTATCACTTCTTCTCGCAGAAAACTTATTGTAGATATTAAAAATTAACACTTAAAATTAATGGATGAGATCAAAATCTTAGCTAATCAGGTACCTATTAAAAAGGTAATATTAAAAAAAAAATCAAAGTGCGTCGCTAACTGAAAACAAATCTTACAGTTGAGGAATATCTAGTTTGCTAGGGCTAATAATTCCATAAGAGCTTATGGAAAACGAAAAAAGAAAAAATTAGTACGCATGTATCAATACTATCAATCATTAACCAGAAACATGTATGTCATTTTTTGTGGTTTAGAAACTGAATAAAGTTTTTGTAATATAATCTTGTAGAACGCTAGCGAAAGCGAATAATTAACTTTTGTGAATATCAAAATAAGTACAATCTATTTTTCAATTAACCACGTATTTTGATTTAAAAATATTAGCAAGTTTACATTGGTAGGCTTTAAGTTGGAACGTCTTGCTGAAACTATTTGCCCTGCTTTAGAGAATATTCTTTCGGACGGAACTGACGTGCCTGGGACGCAGAAGTAACGTTCAGCTATTCTCTGAAGTTCCTTTACAGGGTACTTCTTCCAATATAAAATTGGATTCTTATTTAGCTCAAGCGTGGGCAATTCTAAATATTGGCGAATTGCTATAATACCGTCTGCTATCGCATTTGGGTTTGTTTGAGAAATACGCTGGGATAAAAAATCCATCAATCCAGCAACACTTGTCGTTGCTTCATTTGATGTTGCCTGAGAAGTAGATGGTTCATTTTCCAAATGCAATTGTCTCTCTCTCCTGATTAATTGAGTCACTTCTTGTTGAACAAGTTGCTGAGCACTGTTCGCGTTTTCCACATTGCGAAATGCATATTTCTTTAATCTGGGATCTAATAATGTCGCAATTTTAGGAATAGTTCTTTGTTCATATATAAAAAGGCGTTTTATCACAGATAATTTCAATTTTGTACATAGTTCTTTCCCAATATCACTGGTAAGGAATTGCTCTATTTCAGTTAAATTATTATGTATTCCCACCACCAAAGGGATAATTAACGATACTGTCACATATGTCTGTCCAGAAATTTGATTCGTTGCGGCCTCAAAAGGTTGAAGCAACTTTACCACTTCTTTTAAATCAACGAAATCATTGAAGCTTAGTGGTTCTGGTGCCTTAGGCAATTTTGACAAAGTTACAATTAAACAATCTTCTGTATTTAAAGTGATTAATCGTTGAATCATGTATAGAACACTATTCCACCTTGTTGCAACGTCTTGCAATGGCTTTAATTCTTTTAAATTTTTTTTAAGTTGTTCTTCCCGTAATTTGTCCATTGCAAGAGTACTTTTTTTAAAATATTTAACAATTTGTTTACATTTCTGTAAAAGAAGTTCAAGACCAGTTTCGCTGTCTTTTGTAGATAACCCATCATTTACTGTTAGATTTAAAGTGTGGGCGAAACAAGGTAAATGCTTTATTTTAAGCATATTACAAGCATTAATCATGTTTTGAGCATTATCGGTAACAATGCATTGTACCTTATTTTCCAGGTGCCATTTTTTAATAACTACCTGAAAAAGTAATATTAATTCAGCACATCTGCAATATTACTATTAATTCTTATTTTTTTTTACCTCAGTGTGCTTCTTAATACGCTCAGCTGTATGACTACCCTCCATTTGAACAGTTTCTAGTACCACAGTTTTAAGATCTCTATGTAAAACAAAGTGGCAAGTGATAGTGATATAGCCCTCTCCTGCCATAGATGACCATAAATCCATAGTAAGTGATACATATTCTATTTGGTTAAGAATTTCTTGCAGCTTAGCATTAACGTCAGTCATCAGAGATGGCAATATCTTATTTCGCAATGTGGTCTTACTCGGCAGCTTATATTTTGGATCTAATGTATGAACTAAATCTTGAAATCCTTTATCGTGCACCATCGAAAATGGCTGCAAATCTTTTGCAATCATGAATGCTATTAATTCGTCAAGCTTTTGTTTCCTTGCGTCAGTATCATTATACAAATTTTTTTTAGAAATAAATGAAGTGATGTCTTTCTGTTTTTTTATTTTTTTTGCTCCTGCTTCTGGCGTTGTGTTTGTATCCGATTCGTCAGAAGAATCTATATTTTCATTGTTCAATTCTTGTTTATGATACCTTTTCAGGTGATCATGTAAGTTTGATGTGTTTCCACTTGTTTTGTATTCTTTTTTACAAAACAAACATATGGCAAACTGATTACATTGTTTTTCAAAATAATTCCATATTATGGATTTTGCCCTTTTACCCATTTTTAATCTGAAATAGTGCACATATTATTCGCTCATCTTAAGCTAAGTACATCAACTACCTTAGACAGCACACAATATTCATAGAATGTCCACAGGAAGTTCTAAAAATATTTGTATTTTGTACATCCTTACATTCCTTACTTCTTAAAATGTTCTATGGACGTACTTAAAGAGCTGTGCTGTCTGGGTACATCAAGTGTGTATGCAAGCTTAGTTCTTAAATTATATTAAATTATATTAAATTAAAAATTTATTTACTTACCTAATTATAACATAATATCACAGACTAAAACTATTAATAAAATTATTATAAGTTTTAGCATTAACGTCAGTCATCAGAGATGGCAATATCTTATTTCGCAATGTGGTCTTACTCGGCAGCTTACATTTTGGATCTAATGTATGAGCACTATAAACTAAATCTTGAAATCCTTTATCGTGCACCATCGAAATGGATTAATTAACTTGGATTGCCTTGCCTCCTGAAGCCTGCTTAAGTTAGTTAGGTTAATGCTTTCGGCTACTTTTTGCGACTATCGTAAAACTATCGATAGTAAAAGAAAACTATCGATATATCGGTTTAAAGTTAAGATATCGACATTATCGATAGTTA